GCATTCAGGCATGGCTTCTCCAAGGCTGTTACCTAGCCTGCGCTTACTCTGCAACCCATGCCACCTCTTATTCGCCAATGGGGATGGCAACACCTTTCATTTTTGTACTCTTTCTCCAAGTCCAATGGCGCCTACCTTAATGTCCAATCCTGTTACATGCATGCAGAGATGCCTTCTCCAAGGCTGCCACCTAGCCTGCGCCTACTCTGCACCTACATTTTAACCTGTAAGTCTTCTCCCATCACCTCCAATAGCTTTACATGCATTCAGGCATGGCTTCTCCAAGGCTGTCACCTAGCCTGCGCCTACTCTGCAACACATGCCACCTCTTATTCGCCAATGGGCATGGCGACACCTTTCATTTTTGTACTCTTTCGCTAAGTCTAATGGCGCCTCCCTTAATGTCCAATCGTGTTACATGCATGCAGAGATGCCTTCTCCAAGGCTGCCACCTAGCCTGCGCCTACTCTGCACCTACATTGTAACCTGTAAGTCTCCTCCCATCACCTCCAATAGTGTTACATGCATTCAGGCATGGCTTCTCCAAGGCTGTCACCTAGCCTGCACCTACTCTGCAACTCATGTCACCTCTTATTCGCCAATGGGGATGGCGACACCTTTCATTTTTGTACTCTTTCGCCAAGTCCAATGGCGCCTACCTTAATGTCCAATCATGTTACATGCATGCAGAGATGCCTTCTCCAAGGCTGCCACCTAGCCTGCGCCTACTCTGCACCTACACTGTAACCTGTAAGTCTCCTCCCATCACCTCCAATAGCGTTACATGCATTCAAGCATGGCTTCTCCAAGGCTGTCACCTAGCCTGCGCCTACTCTGCAACCCATGCCACCTCTTATTCGCCAATGGGGATGGCGACACCTTTCATTTTTGTACTCTTTCGCCAAGTCCAATGGCGCCTCCCTTAATGTCCAATCGTGTTGCATGCATGCAAAGGATCCTTCTCCAAGGCTGCCACCTAGCCCGCGCCTACACTACAAGAGTGACACTTATCATGCATGCATGCACCAGCTACCACCTAACTTACTCTATGAAATTTGTTTGCCTATAAATACAGAGCATAACATACTTCTCTCGCACCCACAATCGTCTCACTCTCTGCTACAAAGTCTTTCATAATCTGTTATAATTTCTAAGTCTTTCATAATCTCAGGCATTTTCAACAATGGCTCTTCTCACAATGGGCGATTCTCACAGAGGCACAAGGGACAACATTGCCGCATTTGTAAGTTTCTATTTTAGTTATACATTTTTTACACTTCAGGTAATGCTTTGTTCATCTTACTTAATCTTACACCTTTTACATTATTAACTCAGGATACCAAAAGATTCAGAATCCGGTCTCACAACTACCTGGCTCCCGACCCATTTATCGTACCATATTTGGAATATGCAAGTTTTGGACATGTTATAAAGATCTCCAACTGCACAATTGATTCAAAGTTCATACTTGCAATGTTGGAAAGGTGGAGACCAAAGACCCATACATTTCACCTACAAATAGGTGAATGTACCGTCATGCTAGAGGATGTGTACATGTTACTGGGTCTCCCTGTCGACGGTAAGGTCGTTAACGGGTCGGTTCAACAACCCAATTCTCTGTGTGAAGAATTATTAGGCAGGGATATGGTTGAAGGTGGTGGTGTGAGAGGTCAGGGTATACTACTAACTGAGCTTAAAAATCATTATGCAACTTTGGAATTAAACGAAAAGTCCTCCGAGCAAGACAGGGTAATAAAAGCTAGAACTTATCTAATGATACTATTTGGAACCTTTTTATTTCCCGAAAGTACGAGAAATAGTGTAAATTTTATGTATTTAAATTTACTTAGAGATTTCGAAAAAACTAGAAAGTATAGTTGGGGTTCTGCTGTTTTAGCCCACCTATATAGTTCCTTGTGAAAAAATGAAATCAAGGAAAAATGTACATTTTATGGATGCACTTTTTTACTTCAAGCCCGGGGTTGGTGGAGGATGGAGTCCCTAAACCCCGTCAACAACAACACATTCATTTTCCCGTACGCAACAAAGTAAGTCATCAAGTTATATCATTTATTACTGTTCATCTCTTCACCAAATATATGCTAAAAATAAAATATTTTTCATTTCCTTTAGGTATTGCGTGAGGGGTATGGATTACGGAAAGAATCCAAGATTCAATGTCGCACTATACCGCAATCTATTGGATCACCTAGGCCCGGATGATGTACGTCGTACCTTTCGACTTTTCTACTTTTAAATTATTTATATATTACCTTTTCATTAACCTGATTTAATTTTATGTGCAGTTTGTCTGAAGACCATATTTGGGTTTAGGCCATGAACCAAACCCCGAGGATGCAACAATTTGGAGCACCAAGACTGCAATCATACGGTTCAATATTATGGAGATGCACCACAACGACCGTGTGAAGATGCAGTTCGGAATGCATCAAGAGATACACAGTGATCCGACTTGTTTGTCCCCGTGGCATCTCAAAAGGGTCGACGCCCAGTGGGTTCTTACCAACTAGAAAGACTTTGCTCCAGAATGGTGTAAGATGTGGTAGAGGCGTCACCGACATGTCTTGTAATTCCCAGTTTTCCTCAATCATGGTAATATGCGACACACAGATCAATATTTATCTTGGTACAGGTCAGTTAGTAACCCTGAAATGCACGTGTCTCATCCAAGGTATTTGGTTGACCCACGAACACAATGGGCACAACCCTCGTTTCCCCAACAACAAACCCAACACACATCAACCTCCCACCAACCCCCAGACGAAACAGAACCACAAACACCCAATCACAATCGCCACCACAACACAATTACACCCAAATGCCCCACAACCAACCACAATCACCACCTCAGTACCAATACCCCCATATGCCTCACACCCAACCGCAATTCCAATCACAATACCAACACACCCGCATACCCCACACACAATTTCAGTCTTCTGTATATCCCAATATGGGCCCCTCAACATCCAGCCTTAGCCTTGATCTGGGAATGTCGGAAGATTAGGAATCAACTGACCCAACTTACCATCAACCACAGTATCACCAAACCACCCAACTTCCTCAATACCAAATACCCCAAGATCCATTTCCTTTCTACCCCCCGTACTCAGACGATCAATGCTACAGACCCACCATAGAACCCCACCCACCGCCAACACGACCAAACTTTGAGGGTATGGGTAACCGACGGTACCAAAGCGGATCTTTTAGATATGGAGATCTGACTGATTTCATGGATCCGGAATGCATTGACTTCGCTGGGCCATCGAACCTGCCACAGCAGGAAACGCGACGACACCCAGCACGGAAAAGGCGAGGACGAGGATGCGGAACCGGGGGGTCATTACCGGGTTCCGGAGGACCACTGATTAATCTGTTTTTTTTAATCTGTTTTTTCTTATGTAATACTTATGGGTGTAATCATTTTTTGTAAATAAAAAGTCAATTTTGTTGATCCTATATCGAATACGCAACGTACCGGATTGAAAAAAATGCGAAAATTACCCTAGAAATGTACTAAGGCTCCATCTCACTTGGCTTAGGGCAAGCCCTAAGCACCTAGGCGCCAAGTGAGATGACGCCTCCCCTTAAATAATAGGTGTAGGCGCCAAGTGAGATGACACCTCCTTTGGGGAGTCATCTGAAACATGGTTATTTGCGTAATTTTGTCCGAAACATGGTTATTTGCGGAAAAAAATTTTAATACCTGATTATTGCAAAAAAAAAATTCATTTTTTATATATTATTTATTGATCAAAATTCATATAAATCTAACTAAATTTATAGAAGACCTACATATTTTTGTATGACCCTTATTTTAATATTAAGTAGATAATAATCTATATAAATTTTAACCAATAAAAAGGATGTGTTGAAAAATGTATATTGACAAAGATTGTTTCGCTAACATTCATCCTTGCATAATTTTGAATTTGAATAATCTCTTTCTATTATTATTTTTGTATCTCTCTCCTTACTCTATCTTTCTTAATCTTACCCTTGTAGTAAAAAAAATTATTAATAATCAAAGAGAGTTTGAAAATAAGATAAAAATAGAAGGAAAAAAATGAAGGGAGAGAAGTAGAAAAAAAAAATTAAATGAGAAGATCCCACAGCATAATCAATGACTAGTAGGAGTATGTATGATGTGACAAGTTGCGCCTTTTCAACTTAAATTTTTCTATTGAAAACTACTCCCCCTCTTTTTCATAATAAATATTTCTTTAAACTCCGAATGATATTTAAAAAATAATTAAATATATTAATTTTAATGATAAAATTAATATTATTTATTAAAACACTTTTATTTATTATTTATTATAGTTAATAAAATAGTTAAAAAATGTAAAAATTAATAAATAAATATATAATAGTGAGAAAAAATTATATTAATATTAATATTTTAACAAGACATTTATTTTAAGACATAAAAATATATAAATATAACATTTATCATTATATGGATGGAATAGATACGTATAGAAAGAAAAAATACATAAACATAACCCCATAAAAACTCAACAAATATCCTATCTACTCAATAAGATTGAAAATTACATGTATTTAGTAAAACAAGCACAATCCTTATGTTACAACTTTTCAGGCCCCAAACAGAAAAAATATTAACATAATCCTATATATTAATATTAATTAATCAACTAAAACCTAGTTACCTAGCTAGTACTAGAAATAAACAGTAACACACTTTTATTATTTAATTCAAACAAACAAGAATACTATGATAGGTTTCATCATTCATTTCATATAGAATTCATAACCAAAACCTTATTGGGTAGAACCCTTGAGGAGGGAACAGAAAAAATGGTAAGAAAAAACAAAAGCACAAAATAAACATAAAAATAATAATAATAATAATAATAATGATAAGATGTGAATTCTAAAAACTAGTGTTCATTTTTTTTTGTTGTTAAAAATGAGATACAAGAAGTAGAGATGTAAATGAAGTTAAGATAATATTAGTTTGAAAAAAACTGAGCTAGTTTTAGTCTGAAAGTGTCTGCATCTTGAATACTATTAATCCAACCGTACTTCTCCATGAATGGGTTGGCCAATGAATGTGGTGGATAGTTATCAATGCAATCGTCCCACACATTTCTATCTCCAACATCTCTCATTACCTCCCACAAACAGCTATTGCATTTAAAGCCAGCACCTAAACTTATCATCAACACTCTCTCACCTTTTTTCAGCCTCTTCTTTGCTTCCATATACCCTAGCACATACCATAAGCTACTAGCTGATGTGTTTCCAAATCTGTGCAAGGACATTCTTGCTGGCTCAAGGTCATATTCACTCAGATCTAGGCTCATTCCGATTCCGTCTATCACCGCTTTTCCTCCTGTGTGGAGACAGAAATGATCAACACCGGTTTTGAAATTCAAGGGTGATTTGTTCGTTGTTGCACCAGCACCTGCGGCTGACTTAGGATAACGAAACTTTGTCACCTTTTTAACGAGAGACTTGAAAAGAAACCTGACTAGTTCCCTAGCTGGTAGGATTTTAGGTGATAAGACTCTTAGATTATCGACGAAAGCTCGTGTCGCGGCTTTGGGTAGATCTTTAGCTAGGTAGAAACCAAGGCGGCCTTGTTCGTCTTCCTTTTGGCTACAACAGTTATGCGCGTCGTCTCTGGCGCCATGATGAGTTCGGACTAAGCACTTTAGTTTCAGTATAGCTTTGTGCTTTAAGGATCTTTTGTTTGTGAGAAGAATAGCGCATCCGCCGGTGCGAAAAAGACAGTTAGCTAGGATCATTGACCGGTTGTTGCCTGAATACCAGTTTGTGCTAAGAGACTCTGATGTCAACAAAAGAGCATACTTGTTCTTCTGTGACTTGAAAATGTTTTGAATAATGTCTAACGAGATAAGACTCGCACTACACCCCATACCGGCGAGGTTATAAGCTTTTATGTCCTCTCTCATTTTGTAATGGTTAATGATTCTTGAAGTTAAAGAAGGAACAGAAGAGAACAAAGATACATTTACCACGAGCACGTCGATCTCCGAAGGCGAAAGCCCTGATTTTGTTAGAAGCTTTGCAATGCTGTCGTCACAGAACTCTTCCATCTCGGTGATTTCATCGTGCAATGTCGGGCTCACCGCTCGGCCTTCTATGAAGTTTCTTGGAGCGTAAGTTTCCTCGCCAATACCTGAGTTGACAATGGCTTTCAGGAAGAACTTGCACTCATTCAGACCAATATACTCATTGTTTGCTATGATCTTGCCACAAAGATCACTTCCAAGCTTTCTTTCATCACTTGGCTTGTAACATTGGTAGCTTAATATGTAACACTCTTGGTCCCTTCTCTGATCAAAGAATTTCCAGATCAGGAAACACAAGTGCATTACTGTGAAACCAAAAAGTAAAGAGAGAAACTCCATTAGAGAGAGAGAGATAGAGAGAAGAGAGAGAAAAAGAGTTTGTGTGTGTGTTTGAGTTACAATGAATTAATTTGGATGAGTGTGTGAAATTAAAATTAACAAGGTACTTTATAAGAAGGGGTCGCGTGAGTACTGTGTGGGGGGAGGACTAAGATGCAAATGTCAACAAAAATGTTATGCCTCAACCCCCAACAAACTTATCTCTTCTTTGAAGATTCCGTGTCAAATTTTATTACACTAAACAAAGCAAAATATTAGTCACACTATGGGCATGTGTAACCAAACCCTTGCTGGTCTACCATTCTCTATATACCATAATTAGATCACACGATTTTACTTAAACTCTAATTCAGACTAATACGAGGGAGATTCAAATATCCAGTCCAATCAGATAAAATTTAATCAAAATTATCTAACATATATTACCAACACACGTGAGATTTAAGATAAATTCTTCTAATTTTACAATTTCATTTCATTTATTTTAGATTTGTAACTGACTTAAGTATTAAAGTGTTAAAATTACATTTGCACTCTGCGTCACAAATCAGAGATCAATATCACATTATTTAAAATCCATTATCATCAACCAAACACAATTCTACTTCTAGTACATAACAAAATTCAATATCTAATCAACGTATAAGTATGAATAATCTCTCGTTTAAAGAGGTTAATTATCTTAAACAAATCTCAATGACATAGTATGATTAGTCTTCTGCAAATTACACACAAGAATATTCTAATTTACCAATAAATATCAATTGTTAGGCTAACATGTAGGTGGATAATAAATACAGATGACACAAAAGTTGGAAAATAAATTGTAAATATGTGAAAAATATTAATACTTGTGTTTCTGATAATAGTTGTACTAAATGAGCCAGACATTTCTTTCCAGGCCAGCTAGTTTAAGCTGTAACAGTTGTAGAAATTGGAATAGAAATTTAAAACAAAAGGTAAAGACACAAAGCTCCATAAATTGTTAACAGCTTACTCATTATGGTTATTTAACATTTAAGAGAGAAATTGTAGGGTAGACAGAGGAACAGAAGAAAACATGGTAATCTTAATTAAAACCACAACATAGATCTATATTTTATAACTATATAAAGCAGAAACAATTCATCCATATTTATTTGCTGATGTATGTACGGAAAACTAACACTAAAGTTTTGTTAGGTAACAAAAATTCAATATTTAAGAATTAAGATTAACCACCGTTAGGCTGTCTATGATATGGTTTTATGAGAAAATCAAATCGAACTGAACTAAATAATAATTTAGATTTATTCAAACCGAATAGAACCGTTTTAATTTATTTAAAATTGAATTGAATTAAAATTATTAATTTGATATACTGTTTAAAATTTTGAACTGTTAGAAGATAATTTTCCTAAACCGAACTGTTAAATCATTTTTTTTAAATTAAAATTTATTTTTAATATTTTTCATTTTCAGTTTTGGTTCAATTTAATTTCGATTTAATTTGATTTTAATTTTAATTCAATTCGATTCTTAAATTATTTATGTAATATAGTTTGATTCATTAATTAAACATAATGATTTAATTATTTTAATCTCAGTTCGATTTGATTAAACGATTTAATTCAATTTATAGTTTTTCTTTTTAGCAACCCTAACCACCGTATGAGATTGAAATACTTAATTGTCAATTATATTCATCACCAAAAAGCTAAAATGATGATGAGATTAATATCATCAAACAGTTGAAACCTTAGGAGAGCTTCCAAGTTCAATGGTCCATAGCATCTAAATTAGCACTTGTTGGAGAGTAATCCATGATCATATGTTACAACAAAAACAGGAAGATTAATTAACACATTCATAGGCATTTTAATTCTACCATGTGATTATCATTCACTAACACATGAAAAAGTCGAGCTAGAGACTTGAACCTAGCTAGTAGATTAGCATCAATTTATGTTAGTTGCCACATTAAGATAAACAAGTTTAGGTGTAATTTGGTAGCATTAGGTAAATGTAACATAACATTAAACTTGTTATTTTTGTTTATTTATTTTATTAGAAATTACATTTTCCCCATAAGACTTATTAAAATGAAGTTGATACCGTCTATAATTTTAAAACAAACACTAATTTTCTTTAAATTTATTAAATAGACAAACACTTCCTTTTTTTTATTAATATAATAAGAAAATTGACATTTACCATGGGACTATACCTATGATTTTTTTTTGTTATTAAAAACTCGTTTTAAGACTAATGAAAATGCTGGTATCATTTTAACAATCTTAGACGAGTGATTTCCTTTTAATTTATTTAAGAAAAAGAATATTTTATTTAATATTTTAAAAATAACTCGGCAATCAAATTATTAAGGTCATGAGGTCAAAGGATGAATAATCGAATAAAAAAATCTCAGGTAGAATTATATGAGTGACTCAGATAAAATTGAATGACTCGATCATATAAATCGGTCTCGACAATTAAACTATATAAAAATTCAATCGATTTTAATCAAATGACTTTATCTCTAAAAAGTATAAAAAAAAACTAAGACATCTAAAAAAATGTAAAAAAAAATTGTATATTAAATAGATTTTGATTTCCAATGTCTATTAAATTTTTTTTTTTTTAAATTGTGATGATAAGATTTATATTTTTTATTTTAACGGTTGTAGTTCTCAAAAGCAAGCTCATGGATTTGTGGAAATCTAGTGATAAATGGATAATCACCTTTCAGATAAGGGTTACTTCGAGTTTGCCTTTTCTTCCCACAAATATGTTAGAAGAGTTAGATATATAAACTCTTGGATCCATAAACTCTTGGACAAACTGCTTCTCTATAAACAAGTATATGTCATGATGTAGTGCAATTTGAAAAGGGAAAAGTAGTTGTAGTCGAGGAAAAATATGTTGAAAAACCAACTCTCAATCCTATACGGTGGCAGAATCGTCTGTTTATACTGATTTTCTGTTTGAGTTTGTAAATGTTGCGGTAAGCAAGAGTCGTCACCGACCTTTCTTTTATCCAACAAAGGAAAGGGTGAAAAGAACAAAAAAAGACCTTTCGAGATTTATTTATGAGTAAGGGGGTAGATTACAGAAAAGGAAGGTGTTAACACCCTTTCCATCCGTAGTTATCTACGGGCTCTTAGATGCTTAGCTCATTTTGAAATACCTTGTGCTTTGTGTGTTTTGAAAAGTATTTTTAGAAAATGTCTTAGTGCAGCGATTTACTTTATGATAACTCTTGTATCAGTCCTCAAGAGTGATGATAAAGCGGTTTTTGAAAGTGTTTTTTTGAAATGTCTTGTGTAAGTGCAAAAGTTTGTTTTGAGCAAGCATCTAAGAACTATCTACTTATACTCGAAAGATTTGTTCTTTTTCTTATATCCTCTAGACAACACTATCCTACTATTAGTGAGTAGGTAGCCCTATCGTTGAATGTTTAAGGGACATTCGAAGGGACGTATAGTCATAAAGGCAACATATAGAGACGCTTTAGCAATTTTGTTTAAGGCACTAGATTATTTACCGAAAGGCAACATTGTAGGGTCATCGAGGGGCTATGATATTTTTGATTTAAGGGTCTTTGCTAAAGCGTCCCCATTCTCGAGGGATATGACTGTTTTATTTTCTGAAAGGCAACCAAAGTGGGCGTATCTTAGAGGTGTATATGTGCAAGTGTGTTATATTCAGTTATTTAGTCTTTTGTGTTAGGTTTGCTAGCGTTTGATTTTATTCTTGTCATACAATCCTATTAGTCTAGCAGTTAAATAGTTCAAATATTGCAGAAATTTAAAGTGCAGAAAGTTAAATCTACGCTATTACAATGCTTCAGGGAGGGGGATATTTACATGTCCAAAAATTTGGGAGAAAAATAAAGAAAAGCAGTAAAAGCCCTAGTTAATTCAATTACATTCCATCAGCAGATACATTAGTATAAAAAAGTGCGAAAGTAAATAACGCGTGCGAAATGGAAAGAAACGTCTAAAACCCTAAAAAATTCTAGATGAAAATAAGAAAATCTTTTTTTTTTGGTTTTTTTGTTAAGAAAATAAAATAATTAAACTACCTTAAATTTAATTAAAAAGATAATCATTAAATGAATTTAAGCCTAATTCTAATATTTTTGTATTTTTATTAAGAAAATATTTGAATCAAATAACCTAACTCTAATTGATTTTAAATTAATTGAAACAAGTCAAAATAATCAAGTTAATGAATTTACAAAATTAAAATTAATTAGAAAAATCCTAAGTCTATTCTTATTATTATTTTTGATTTTATGATTTAAAAAAATGACTTTTGTCAATAAGTAAATATTAAAAAAACAAATTAGAAAGACTAAAAAAAAGAAACAAAAAGAATGCTGGACCTGATGTCTAAAGTAAATGGGGGGTATGCTTGAGTTTTTTTGTGTAGGCCCAATCAAATTGAACCCAGCGTTCCAAAAAATAATCTGGTGAGCACCATCCTTGAGGCTATAGGGTGGAAACGCACCTTAGGATGGCCAGATCTTTTTGCGTTGGCATCTGATGGCTTAGATATGAGGAGTGGGATACATGTGTGGGTCTCCACATCACTGGATCTGTAAAACAAATGTGAAAAAAAATGGAAAATTCAAGACCTGGGATCGAACCCAGGCCTTCCATCACTATACACGCTCCTTTCACCACCAGACCACCTGTTTCAATTGTTAGTATAATGTAATGAAATAATAAAATATGAAAATAAATCTAAAAGCTGAGTCATCAAGACGCGCACGCTGTAAGTTTGAATGAGCCAACCAGGGCACGAATTTTAGCCACGACAGCTTTGACTGGAGTCAAATATTTTTAGGGATGTCGGAGCTACCCTCCGATCATATTCTCCGGCCTCTACAAAAACAGAACAATGAAAATATGGGGAATCAAAACCCCAGATTTCGGCTACCCCCCTATTTCGCATGCTACTAACTCAACCATGGCCATGGTGTGACCTGAAACAGCCTGCATCGTCCTGCTCGAAGC